ATACCATTGTCCATTGTCATCTCTTATGGGATTGGCTGATTGGAACAAGCTTCCTTTGGCCCGCTTCTCCCTGTGCAGAGTAAATGTAGATTATACAAGAGATAGAAATAATTGCACATAAAATGTTTATTAAGTTTACTCGTGGGGGGGGTAGGTGATAACCTGTCCTCTATAGGAGACTGCACCGGCGCATGCCTGAAACTGCTGCTGGGTAAGACTCTGGATTCAGCCCTCACCCGGCCCTGACTCCTGTATAAGTGTCGCCTTTTTTGTGATCTCTTCTGTCATCCTTTGTGTATCGCTGTATGATATGAAGGCTGACGGAAGAGTCCAAAATAATCTGTCATTCCTACTCCAGGACCTGCAGACGTCACGGCTCAGGGTGATCAGGTCGTCCATTGCCGTAGCAAGAATATCCTTGGCGACCTCTGGAGTGAATATGGGCTTGGGAGCTCTCTCAACCAAGGCGTCCTGTAACATTAACAAAACCCATTATTCGTTAAATAGTTAATGTAAGTATGATAATGAAAAATTTATTTTTAGGAATAGTTGGATAAATTACAAGTGTTTCTATTATCCTAAATTTTTTTATTTGTTAACATATTTGTTAATAGGATATATATATATATATATATATATATATATTAGGGTTAGATAAGTTTTTTTATTTGAAATTAAAAATAAAAATTATTAAAATATTTCTGTTTAAGATATGTTTTTTATGAATGAAATTCTTTTTGTCTTTTAAACTTGGTACACTTTGTTAAAATGTACTAACTGAAAAAATAGTTTACATAAGTTAGCAAACTATATATATATATATATAATTACTTTTAGCCCAATGCAATATGTGTTAAAATAGAAGAATTTTTTTTTGGAAACATTAACGTTTCGGAAAATGTTATAAAGTTGAATGTGAATATGATTATAGCTGAGCAAATGTTGAACATAATAAGGTGGATGAAAATACCATGGTAGATAATAAACTATTATTTTCAGGATAAATTGATTTCTATAGAATAACTACAAGAACTAATGAATTCATTTGCTATTGTTTGTGTAGAGTTTTCCATCGTTTCAATTTTGGTGGGATTTCGAAAATTTCTATGTTTCCTACAAACATTTCCACTACTTTGTTGAAGGACGGTCATTTGAATTTATTTGTACACACCAAAATGCAATCCTAATCATCTTTGTTATTTTCATTTCCTCTTCCATGATATATTCCATTTATATATGTCTTTTTCTTTTCTAATGTGGTCATAAAGCCATGTGGGAAAATAAATTTGACTTGAATGCTCTATATTGGTATTTATGTTTTTCCTCCTATTTGTCACTTCCGTTAAGCCATTCCAAAACGGTAAACATCAAACTTGTAAGATATTTTTCCAATACTTTTTTAAAATAATTTAGAAGCCATATATATCGAATTGTTTCTCCTACTGCTGCTTTCATGGATGACCATGTTATTATCTATTAGATATAATTTCATCAATCCAAACTAAGAGACTTTTGGAATGAATTTGTCTTCAAGTAGAATATTGTGGGGTTTTATATATCAAAATGAAGAATTTACATCTCACATCGATGATGGATATCAGTAAGCCAACAACGTACCCAAATCCCTACTTCTGTTCTGTCTTTAAAAAAAATAATTTTATTAAGAGATCATTAGATATGAATTCATAAACAACAGCACGTCTTGAACCTTCAACACTAAATGCAATTAATTGCACTACATTTTGATTATGTATTCTTCCAATGGTAGCAACTTCACTAATAAAGTCATGACCATTACCTTTGGAATTACCTAACTTTTTATTGCCACATAAGGTCAAAAATAAAATATAAGTATATATTTTTTGTTGTACAAAGGATTAAAATAAAAGGTTATATTTTAGGTATAACATGTTCATATTATACATATTTTTCTTGAATTAGGTTAATACGATGGTACAAAGTGGTAAAAATTGTGACAAGTGCAAGTGAGTGAGTCTACTTATCAAAATATTTGACCAAATCTCTATCTGTATTTCTACACATCGCGACGAAATTTACAAATATAAAAACGGAAAACTATCTTTTAACAATTTTTTTTTGACAGTGCGATTCCACATCGATCACGCTGTTTTTCCATTAGAAAGTTGTGCAACAACATTCAAAACTTAAAAACGCGGACGTGGACTGACTTTGTTCGTGATCCGTGTCTTTCTGTCTGTCATCACGATCTCTACCCAATAGAAGATAAACCAGTGCAGGAGTGCCCTTACAAGTTGATTCCATATTCATCACGTTGTCCACAGTATAATACTTTTCTCTTTTAAAAGTTGTGCGATGATAATTAAAAGTTAAAACGTAGACTTACGCTGACTTTGACTGCAACAGACAAAAAAGTATGGATAGTGTAAACATAAATTGAAAATGCTCCGAGTTTGGCTCTCTAACATTAGGTTCTTATCGCACTGACTTGAGATGGCAAAGTCCAGCACACTGTCTCTCCATGGCTATGGTATATTGATCACACTAATGCTATTCCATAAGCTCATTCCTATCAAAGGTAGCAGCTATCATGACGACTGCGGGGAATTGTCTTGTGGGCCAAATCAACCACCTATTAGATTTCCCTTCCAACTTGTCAAGGGGATACATGAATGTGCTCATCGTGGCTATTGTCTGTATTGTACTCAAGAAAACAACACCATGCTTTTCCTCCCTACCATAAAACTCCAGGTCGAATACATAGACTACCAAACGTTGCAAATTTACTTGAAGGATCCGAACAATTTCCTTCCAAAAACTCTTCTAAATCATTACAATCCTTTTAATGATTATTACTTTACCGTATCAAGCAGCTTGAGCTTCTTTGACTGTTCTTCAGTTGGGTATAGACAACTCAGAAATTCATATGGATCGTACCAAGATATGATCTCCTGTCCGATTTACGTCACTGATTCTCAGGCAAGTGTCTTGGAATGGGACCTGACATTCTGTTCAAAGATGTTTGACGTCACTGCACCTGTTTCGGCATTCGACATGCTGCAGAATAAGTTAACATTGACATGGTCCAAACCAGCTTGTACTGCGTGCGAAGCGCAAGGCAAAAGATGTAAATGGAAGAACAACAGCACCGAAGTTATCGAATGTTTTGATTGCTATAACCAAAGGGGCCTCCAGAAAAGAATCACGGATTTTAGATCTTTTATTGTTTCTACTACAGGTGAGATCAGATTCTTGCTCACTACTTCACTAAACTTTTTCATTTCTCTCACTCTTTTTAATCAAGTCTCCTACAGTTATCGTAGGTTCAGTTCTTTTGGGCCTGCTGGTCATTGTGGCTTTTAAGAGTTTCCTTTATTTTAGAAAGAAGGAAGAAGACCAAGCAAGAGTGGACAAGTTCTTAGAGGATTACAGAGCAGAAAAGCCTACAAGGTTTACGTACGCAGATGTCAAGAGAATCACCGGTGGTTTTAAAGAAAAACTAGGGGAAGGAGCTCACGGAGCTGTTTTCAGAGGAAAACTTTCGAATGAGATTCTCGTGGCTGTGAAGATCATCAATAATTGTGATGGAGATGGGAATGAGTTCATCAATGAAGTTGGAATTATGGGAAAAATCCACCACATCAACGTGATTCGTTTGTTAGGCTTTTGCGCCGAAGGAATCCATCGTGCTCTTGTCTACAATTTGTTTCCAAAGGGTTCGCTACAAAGCTTCATATTTCCACCCGATGACAAGGACCATTTCCTTGGCTGGGAGAAGATGCAACACATTGCTCTTGGTATAGCTAAAGGGATTGAGTATCTCCATCAAGGTTGTAATAATCCCATTGTTCACTTTGACATAAATCCTTGCAATGTGTTGCTTGATGACAACTTCACTCCAAAGATTTCTGATTTTGGATTAGCCAAATTGTGTTCCAAGAATCCAAGTTTGGTGTCCATGACAGCTGCTAGGGGAACCTTGGGATACATTGCACCGGAAGTTTTCTCCAGGAACTTCGGAAATGTGTCTTACAAGTCAGATATTTACAGTTATGGAATGTTGTTGCTGGAAATGGTTGGAGGAAGGAAGAATGTAGACATGTCATCCCCGCAAAATATCCATATTCTATATCCAGATTGGATCCATAATCTGGTTGATGGAGACATACATATCCAAGTTGAGGATGAAGACCATGTTAAAATTGCGAAGAAGTTGGCTATTGTTGGACTTTGGTGCATTCAGTGGCAGCCAGTGAACCGCCCATCCATGAAATCTGTTATACAAATGCTAGAAACTAAAGAGGTAGACCAGTTAACTGTGCCTCCTAATCCATTTCACTCAACCACTTCAGCTACTGCCAGTCTCAATTCAACAAGAAGACCTTTGGAGTTGGAAGCAATTCAAGAGTAAGAGAATAGTTATGACTTGTTACATTGACAAATATGTACATTGCTGATTTATTCTCATACGGAGGAAATGAGTATTTTAAGTTGTAGATGAAGTGACAGCTGTATTTTACCCTATAGAAAAAGTAACAGTTGTAATTTACATGATCTATCAAATACGAAGGTGAAAAAGACAAATAACTATTTTTTTTTTAAAACTTATAAATAACAAAATATGATATTTAGATGATAATAAAAAATTTCAATAATAAATTTGTTTTGACAAATGAGAGTAACGTTTGTGGGTACCAGGAATAGGCTGCATATATCATGCATATTTATATAAAATGGAATTCCATGTTAGTAAGGATTTGTTTTTGTAATGAATACATTTTATTTAGGTTTAATGTCTCGGTAGGTCCCTATTTTCGGCGTGAATCTCAAATAGGTCCCTTTTCTTTTCGGCGTCTCAATTGGGTCCCCATTTTTGTAAAATTGTAACAATTAAAGGCCTACCGTCAAATTAGACAAACGGCCGTTTAATTGTTTATTACGTGGCATGGGCAGTGTTTTCAGTAATCACAGGTGGAATTAAAAAAGAGTTTTGTATTAAAAACTATGAGGTTAAATCAGCTTTAGGGAAAGGGCACAGTGGGAAAACTCATTATGATTCCCACTTCATCTTCCCCTCTCCTTCTCACACACAACCAGAGTTCGATGATCTCGTTCAGAGACTCTAACCGATGGCTCAGCTCACCCACCTGAGCCCGGAGCACCGAGTTCTCAGCCTCAACGCTCAAGAACTGCTGCGTGGTGATGTTGACGGTGGTGAGTATCTGCTGATTCTCCTTTCTCAGCTGAGCCACTTGGGTAACCAGATCGTCCAAGTGCTTCTGCTTCCTCATGCGAGATCGCCGTGCAGATTCGCGATTCGATTTCATTCTCTTCCTCTTTCTCTGATCCATTACCGCTTGCAAGTCCTCCTCAGAACCCGAGTTCTGAAGCAGAGAGGATGAACCCGAACATGTTCCGCTTGAGGAAGCCATGGGTCCTGCACCTAACAGTGGAATTGATCATACACCCGGAAAAGAAGAGCTCACTGAGAATCGAATACATGAATCTCAAACGTCAACAACAAGATGTTGGACATTTAATTTGCGCTTCTAATATCTACTTCCTGGAGAGGAGAAGGAAAAAAATGAGTCAAAATTCTCCAACCCAATTTCGTAAAGTTTCAAGCTTTGGTGCTGAAAAATAGAAAGGGGTGAGATTTGTTATGTGGGGTTTGGGATGATAAACATGGCGAGGTTGAAGAGAAGGTGTTTGATAGAAAGTCGGTGTGAGATGGGAATCATAATCAGTTTTCCCACTATGCCCTCTCACTAAAGCTGATTTAACCTCATACTTTTTAATTGAAACTCTTTTTTAATTCCATCTGTGATTACTGAAAACACTGTTCATGCCACGTAATAAACAATTAAACGGCCGTTTGTCCAATTTGACGGTAGGCTTTTAATTGTTACAATTTTACAAAAATGGGGACCCAATTGAGAAGCCGAAAAGAAAAGGGACCTATTTGAGATTCATGCCGAAAATAGGGACCTACCAAGACATTAAACCTTTTATTTATGATATGTATGTTATTACATAATGCAGGTTACTACTTTAAACTGTGTATGACAATAGTAGTGATTTATAGCGTTGTTACAATAAATACTCTTAAAGATACCTTCCAATATATTTTTGCTGCTGTTTAGGATTTAAGTTATAAAATTTCTAGTGTTATTAGTGAATTAGAAAAAAGATATATAGTTTCTTTTATGTTTACTAAATAAACATGCATTAAAAGAGTATAGATGGTTATTTATATAAATATAAAGAGCAAATAGTTTATGCTGTTCATATTTTTGAAAAAATATTCTTTAATGTTGTCAATGATTCTTTTTAAACCATCTTACATATTTTATATATTTTATAACGGTAGGTTTTTTAAAAGTTTATATCGCTATCTGTTAATTTACTGGAGATTTTAAATTAGATATGCTTGTGCATTATCTTTTAATAAATTTAATTTACTCGACAGGACACGGTTCATTTGGAATGGGCTAATAAATTTAATGTTTTTGAATTTAAGGTTTTAAGTGTCTGAAAAATTTATGTATCCATATTTAAATGATTATCTCATTATACGGACTATTAACAAATCATGCATTGTTTTCCGAGATCATATATTTATTAGTTTTTTTATTGTTAATGAACTAATGAAAGAATTAAAATTAAAAATAAAGGGAAGAATGATAAAAAAAGAAGAGAATGATGGCAACGAGAATGTAAACTACAAATAATAGATTACGAAGAATAAAATAAAAACTAATAAAAAAGTAATGAAAATAGTAATCCAAATTATTACTATTACTATACGATGAGAACTGACCGATCGGATATTACTACTGTTGAGTCAAATGAACCGATCGGCTAGGTCACGGAAAAGAACTTCATAGTCGATCAGAGGTAAAGCGTAGTCAATACAGTAACTTCTATTGATGAGTGATCAATGTGACATTAATGACTATTAAGAGGTAGATTAATAGGTCTTATTCTTTTAAACTCTATGAGTAGAGGTTTAATTTGGGGTAAGACACACTTTTCATATTTTAGTTACTTTAGACCTTCAGAAAAAAGATATCTGACTTGAGCGTCAGAGTATCTTCTGTAGGTCACCCCCTTCAAACCCATCGGTCATCTGGAGTAGAGAGAGGAGCAATTGTTCGTCAAGACAAGAGAGTTGAGCATCCATCATCGTCTTAATCCAGCAGAAACATTTTGGCACCCACCGTGGGGTCGAGGATAGCAGAACAAACCCAGTCGAGAACATAAGGATGACAGGACAATCAGACTCATTGGCGTTAGTTAAGGAGATGCAAAGGCAGATGCAAGCCATGCAAGAAGAGATTTTGACCTTTCGAGCAGAGCGTGCTGCAGGGCAGATGGATCAATTAAATCAGCAGTAGGTGGTACCCACCCATACTCCTATAGTGGAGCTTGCTCAAACTGAGCCCGAGGGAACTACACAAGAGGAAAACAGTTGCAGGACCCGTACGGTTCGCTCGACTAATGCTGGACGGGCCTGTGCGCTTCACCCGTTCACAGTGGCTATTATGGAAGAGCCTATGTCGGAGAAGATGCCTCTAGCTCTTGACAAATACGATGGATCGGGGGATCCGAAAGAGCATCTGAGATTGTTTGTGGACGCTATGACGATATATTCGCCAAATGACTTCGTTTGGTGAGGGTATTCTCCTTATCCCTTAAAGGAGAGGCTCTAGCATTGTTTCGTTCCCTTCACCCTCGGACCGAAGAAAATTTTGGTACGCTGAGAATTTTGTTTGAACAGCACTTTGCTTCTAGCCGGGGACAAAACTTAACTTATATGGAGCTAACGAAGATTAGACAAAGAAAAGATGAAAGCCTAAGGAATTTTATTGACCGATACAATCAGGCACCGCAACAAGAAAAAGATGTTGGCAAAAATTTCATCATGAGCACCTTGGCCACAACCTTAAAGCCTTGTTCCTTTGCGAACAACTTGTTCGCGCGACCACCTTTAACCTTGGGAGAAATGCAGGAGAGGGCTGCTGAGTTCATCCGGATTGAGGAGTTGCATGCTGTCCAGAAAAGACGGATTGAGGACAATGCTTCATCCTCAGCAGGTTAAGAGTGAAAGGATGGCAAAGAGGCGTTCATTACAGACGAATGGCGTAAGGGTAACAAGTATAGAGATGGTCCGAAAGGACCCATATTTAATCAGTACACCCCTCTAACGCACCGAGAGCAAGAGTTCTAGAGGAAGCTTTGGCGCTGATCTCCTCCCCCGTTGAAGAAAAAACCAATGCCTAAGAATGCGGATGGTAGTAAGAACTGCCTCTATCATTAGAATATGGGGCATACCACTGAAGAGTGCACTTCGAGACAAGATTGATGAGTTGTTAAGAGCAGGGCTCTTAAGAAAGTATGTGAGAAACGAGCGGGGGGAAAGAAGCTCGCAACGAAGAGGAAGATCTGGACAGTACGACCGTAGAGATGAGCGTCGATCTGAGCGTCGCAGCAGAAGTTGAAGTCAAGATCCACAGTTGCGCGATCACACTAATACAATCTCTGGAGGCTTTGCTGGAGAAGGGTCAACAACCTCGTCGAGAAAGAGGCATTTGAGAGATTTGAAAAGTATGCATAGGGTGGACGTCAAGAAACGCTCGATGCCACCAATCACGTTTTCGGACAAGGATTTTCATGTTCCTGACCCTAAGTAGGATGATCCTATGGTGATAATCGTTGTTATCACTCGGTACAATGTGGGCAAAGTTTTGATCGACTAAAGGAGTTTGGTCAACATCCTTTACTGGAAGACATTCTAGCAAATAGATCTAACTGAAGACTTGATTGTACCCTACAATGAGCAGATTGTTGGGTTTGTAGGAGAACCAGTAGACACAAGGGGATATGTGAATTTGAGAACGTGTCTCTGTACCAAAAAGGATGCTAAAACGCTAAAAACTAGATTTTTGCTGGTAAAAGCTAGCATCCCGTACAATGTGCTTATAGGCAGGCCTTGCCTAAATGCTTTTGGGGCAATAGTTTCAATGCCTCATCTAACCCTCAAGTTTCCATTAGATGATGACAAATTTATGAACACCGAAAAACGGCGCCACAAACTTGTTTAACAATCGGCAAGTGTGACCGAATCGTTTCAAGTAATAAACTCGGTAAGACCAAGTATCGTTCTCCCAAAGGACTCACGGCCTAGTTTAGTTATGTGATTCGTTGATTATTTAAGACTTAAGAACGAAATAAGTGAAGTTTAATATGCAAAACAGAAAATAAACATGTATGCATGAATGTGATCAATGGCTAAAACAAAATACAAACACTTCAATAAAATATATGGATGAGTATGTTGTTGGGGTTATCAATTTCATCTTATCCACTCTCATATACTTTAGGAATTCAACATTCTTTTCATCATTGTTAATGCCACTCTCTAAATTACCTTGCAAGAAGGCCTATCCCCAATTACGAGTTCATACGATTCCTAGCATTCCTAATAATTAGTTCTTTTAGCGCAGGAGCTTAACGGCAACCAATATACTATTGGGAGAAATTCCCCGGATCTAGACTTCCCCGTACGTTCCCGTATCGACAAAATCAATAATCATGCATTGAATGAGTTAAACAAAGCAAGCATT